ATGTTCTTTTTTTTTCTTCTTTTATATGCAACCTGAACACACTGCAACTGCAAGCACTGATGTGAACGATGACATTGACAACTATATAACCTTCTTTCTGTGCGCTTTGAATGCAGAAAAAAAAGCAACTGAAATATATGTAGTGTGAACTAGCCATATGAATAATGTGACCAAAATAATATTTTGAAAATCCGAAAATATATGCAGCGCTCTGTAAATCATAAAAAATAAATCATATAATAAAACCTAATGTAATTAAAAAATAAATACAGTCCATCAACAAAAGTCCTCATTGAATCCACCATGTGAATTGAATTATTCAAAATAAAACCACCACGTGACTGTAAAGAATATCTCCAAACTTGTGCGGTGCTCCCCTTTAGGTATGCACTCACCAACTTTATTTGCCTCCCACTCTCATGGCTGGTAAAATGCGCTTTTGATTAGACATATATTTCTCCTGATCAGGATATTCGTTCATGTACATCGACTCCTTCCAAAGTGATTCCAACACTTCAAATCAATAGCCTCAGTAACAGACTTTCCACAATAATTTCCCCAGAATGGCTCCAGCACGCCAGACCTACAATTCTTGGAGATGATTCTCCATATCAAGGGAAAGAAAGGAAATAGAGACCCAACATAGTGACGATCTTCGCTCTCAAACAATGTGTTCCAGTTCCAAAGAGCGTCACTCCGGTTTTCGCTCAACCAAACCCTGGCGCGTTTCGTCACATGCAGACTTATCCATAGGAAGCCATATGAATAGTTTGGATTATCCTGGACTTCTACTTTAACCTCTTCACGCCGGCGCTTCCTGGCCCTTTAAGAGTTTCAGAAGCCGGGAGGCGGGGTGGGGTTTGAGGGTCATGTGACTGCCGCGATTGCTGTCACGGTGTTCACATGATCGGAAAAGGTCCCGATCGAAAGGGGAGATCGGGACCTTTTTGTGAGTCACGGACATATGTGCTGGGAGCGCGCAGGGCACAGCACATATGTATTTTCTAATTGCAGGCAAATATGCGGCTGCTCAGCGTCAAGGTCCAGCGCCGAGAGGCCGCATATTTGCGCACGATCGGCGTCCAGGGGTTAATGTCCGTGATATGTATTTTTCTTCTGCTGATTGAACTTGTTCTGAATTGATTTGCAGTTGAACAGCTATTTGTATACTTCAGTTCTTATTAGAGGCGAATGGGTTTTTCTAGATTTATCTATCAGGATGTATTTGGAATATTATTTACATATTCTTCCCAGGAAAAAAAAAAATATACTTTTACATTGAAAGTGATTCCATAGGCTGAAAGTATTTGATCTTAATGCATTCTCAGCCCCCTCTTTTACTTACCTGACCCTGATCTTGATCCAGCACTGTGCACGAGAGCATCGGCTCCCTCTTCTCTCTCCCTCCTCATCGGCACAGAGACAGCAGCGGGAGCGATTGGATCCTGCTGCTGTCAATCATAGCCAGTGAGATGGGGTGGGGCCAAGCCTCGCTGTGTGTGTCAGACCTGGCTCGGAATCTAGCCTACATGAGTGCCCCCATAGCAAGCGACTTGCTATGGTAGGCACTCAGCGGGAGAGGAGGGGGCGGGGAGGAGCCAGGAGCGCCGGTAGGGAACCTAAGGAGGAGGATTGAGGCTGCGCTGAGCAAAACAAGCAAAAATGTCTATAATCACTTTAATATATTGTTGACCAATTGTGAACAGTTGTGGTGTATTAGTCACTTATACTTTGCTAGGGTTCTGTGTTTTGTCCCCGCCATTTCATGAGCAGGGGCGGACTGACCATTTGGAAACTCGGGCACTGCCCGAGGGCCCGGAGTCAGTAGGGGGCCCCATGATATGCCCCTGGTACCTTTTTCATAGGCTTTTTTGGGTGTGGGCGAGGACACATGGGTCTCATGATCCCCTATTGCCTGGGGGCCCCATGAGTTGTCAGTCCACTCCTGTTCATGAGTGTATATTTTGGAAACTCCGGTGTTCATCCATAACCCAAACTATACAGACGGGTTAACTTCTTCCCACCAACAATTTCTATATTAAGGTTCAGCTGCTCATTGTGACATACACTATTAATTGTTCCTTTGACCGCCACCAGTCAACTCTTGTGGGGCTAGTGGCTCTCAATCCTGGCTGACCGTTTCATTTGAAAGGGGCAGAGTTGTCACCCCATGACAGGAAGTTCCCGAACAAGAATTTTATTGCAGGATTACCAGGCTGCACCAAAGTAAATATCTGATTTGATTTGTGTGTGTGGTCTGTGGACTTGTGGAGGATTGGAACACAAAGCAGGGATTCCATACAGCAGGGATTCCATACAGCAGGGATTCTCAACCTTTTTTCAGTCAAGGCACCCTTTAAAATTATGGACAGTTTCGAGGCACCCTTTAAATTTATAGACAGTCCCGAGGCACCCTTTATAATTATGGACAGTCCCGAGGCACCCTTTATAATTATGGACGGTCCCAAGGCACCCTTTATAATTATGGACGGTCCCGAGGCACCCTTTATAATTATGGACGGTCCCGAGGCACCCTTTATAATAATGGACGGTCCCCGAGGCACCCTTTATAATAATGGACGGTCCCGAGGCACCCTTTATAATAATGGACGGTCCCGAGGCACCCTTTATAATTATGGACGGTCCCGAGGCACCCTTTAAATTTATAGACAGTCCCGAGGCACCCTTTATAATTATGGACAGTCTTGAGGCACCCCATTAAAAAATGTGAGAAACTATTCCAATAGTTTTCTATAACGCAGCAACATCCACACATGTAGGACACCCAACATTAGAGGGGATTTATTCTTCCAAAGCAAATACACTTTTGCACACTGGCACTGACTAGTATTCCAGTGTTTCTCCTCTCCCTCAGTTTTTACCCATCACTGAGCTAATGTGACCCCAGCACTGACAGAGAGGGGAAGGGAGGGTAAAACTAGGATGCTGTGACATCCTTCTTATCAACTAATGATGTCATTGGTTGTCAGGATGCCGGCGGCTAGAAGGTCGTAATGGTGCACAATGAAAACCTGTGGCTTTGTGTAACTAAAAGGCAGGCTTGTTCCACCCGCTGACTTGTATACAAGTTTTGGGCAGTTTTTAGACATTTTGCCAAGGCACCCCTAAAGAAACCTCAAGGCACCCCGGTTCAGCGAGGCTGCCATACAGTATAGCAAATCTTCACTTGGCCACTGGTGCCTGGCCTGTTTAGGGTATCTTTTTTTGTAAAGCACTATTAGATTTGTGATTACAAAGTCTGTTTGTTCTCCCTGAGGCCCTGCGTTTGTTGATCCTGTATAAATACAGAATTATAAGATTGTTGTTATTTTTGCCCATTTCTTGCCATGTGATTGATGCTGAAATCTGTAGAGCCATTCACTGTCATGTGTGCCCAGGACTTGTACTTCAATAGCCCTCTGGTGATTCATATTGTGTGCAGACAGAACATGTGCCCAGCGTTGTGCTCCAGGCTCTGATATACCAGATCAGCTTATAAGATGGCTGAACAAAGCCGGGATCATTATTAGTAGATTAGATTGTGAGGCATCTGCAGAAATACAGCTCTCCTGCACCATACCGCCTTGGACTTCACTACTGACTATAGGAAATGGAGGTTTGCTTGTAGCAGCCAATTATATTTTATTATATTATTATTATATTTATTATTTATTATGTTATATTTTCACGGCAGGACTAATGCAGGCCATAGACGGGTCGAAAACCGGCCTTTTTTTTTAATAAAAAAAACCCCTGAAAAATCGGTCGTTCGATCGGCCGACGTTACCACCAACGGTAAAAAAAATCGGCCGATTTTCGTACCGTCTACGGCCGGCATTTAATTACTTCTGTCCCTTGCAGAGAGCTCCGCTATTATATTTGACATGAAAAAGTCTTGCGGTTGCAACAATGTATCCATTTCGGATACAGATGTTTTTATTCGGATACAAATAGATACATTGTTGCAAGCGCAATACTTTTTCATGTCAAATTTAATAGCGGACTGGAATTCTCCTTCTTTTTCTTCTCTCTTCCTTCTCCTTCTTCTTCTTCTTTCTTTCTCTTCCTCCTTCTTTCCTCCTCCTCCTCCTCCTCTCCTCCTTCCTCCTCCTCCTTCCTCCTCCTCCTCCTCCTCCTCCTCCTCCTTCCCTCCTTCTCCTCCTCCTCCTCCTCCTTCCTCCTCCTCCTTCTCCTCCTCCTCCTTCTTCCTCCTCCTCCTCCTCTCCTCCTCCTCCTCCTCCTCCTCTTCTCCTCCTCCTCCTCCTCTTCTTCCTCCTCCTCCTTCTTCTTCCCTCCTCTCCTCCCTCCCTCCTTCTTTCTGCTTCCTCCTTCTTCCTCCTCCTCCTCCCCTCCCCCCTCCCTCCTTTCTACTTCCTCCTTCTTCTTCCCCCCCCGTCCCCCCCTCCCCCTTTGATCGCTCAGTTGTTGGTCTTAGAGGTGGTGGGGGACAGATGCAGCTGTGCGCCATAGACCCAATAAGCGGGGCTCAGCCCCCCCCCCCAACTTCCTCCTCACTGCATTTGATTGACAATGGCTCCTGATACTGCTGTTTCAGTCCCTGTGTGAAGAGGAAAGAGAGGGGAGTAGAGATGCAGCCATGAACAGCGCTGGATCTCTTCTCCCCTTTCTTCCCCTTTAGATATGGAAGTGAGCGGACAGAGTGCTCTCCATAGTGATGTAATTTCAGTTCCCTGCCCCCTGCTTTTCAGAGCTGAGAAATCCTGTGTAAATTGTGCACTTTGAATGGATGTAGGAGAAAGACTGCTATAGATAAATAGGTACAACTTATGTAGGAGGATTTGTTTCATCTCTGTGTATCACCTGAGGCCAGTCACTGCACTGAGTATATGTGAGGGTTTACAACCACTTTAACTGCTGCCCGCCATATAGTGTAATGACGGGCGCAAGGCGGTTCTCTCGTTCTGGGAGGACGTCATATGACGTCGTCCCATTCTAACCGCGCATGCGTGGCCCCGGGAGCGCGCAGCGCGGCAATCAGCGGTGCGCTGTGTCCCTCGGACACAGCGGATCACCGTTCAATGGAAAGAGCCAAAGATGTCGGCTCAGCCATGTGATCAGCTGTGTCCAATCACAGCTGATCTCATGTAAACAGGGAAATGCCAGTTATCTGCATTTCTCTCCTCACGAGCTGTCATGCTGACAGAGGAGAGCCGGTAATCGGCATTCCTCAGAGGGGACATGTACACTGATCATCGGCACTAATCATCAGTGTGCCCTGATGATCAGTGTAGCCCCAGCAGTGCCACCTGTCAGTGTCCGTCAGTGCCAGCTGTCAGTGTTCATCCATGCCACCTGCCAGTGCCCATCATTGCCACACATCAGTGCCTACATGCATATCAGTACACATCTGAGCTGCCTTTCAGTGTCACCTATCAGTGCCAGTCAGTGCCGCCTGTCAGTGCTGCCTATCAGGGCCACCTAACAGTGCCACCTATCAGTACCATATGTGAGTGCTGCCTTTGAGTGCCCATCAGTGATGCCTGTCAATGCCCATCAGTGCCACCTACCAGTGCCTCCTCATCAGTGCCACCTATCAGTGTCCATCAGTGCAGCCTCATTAGTGCACATCAGTGAAGGAGAAAAATCACTTATTTACAAAATTTTATAACAAAAACTAAGAAAAAAACGTTTTTTTTGTCAAGATTTTCAGTGGTTTTTGGTTTGTTTAAGAAAAAAAAACCCAGAGGTGATTAAATACCAGCAAAATAAAGTTTTATCTGTTACAAAAAAATGATAAAAATTTCATATGAGTACAGTGTTGCATGACCGCGCAATTGTCATTCAAAGTGCGACAGCGCTGAAAGCTGGAAATTGGCCTGGGCAGGAAGGGGGTAGAAGTGTCCTGTAGGCAGGAAGGGGGTATAAGTGCCCTGTAGGCAGGAAGGGGGTAGAAGTGCCCTGTAGGCAGGAAGGGGGTAGAAGTGCCCTGTAGGCAGGAAGGGGGTAGAAGTGCCCGGTAGGCAGGAAGGGGGTATAAGTGCCCGGTAGGCAGGAAGGGGGTGTAAGTGCCCGGTAGGCAGGAAGGGGGTGTAAGTGCCCGGTAGGCAGGAAGGGGGTAGAAGTGCCCTGTAGGCAGGAAGGGGGTAGAAGTGCCCTGTAGGCAGGAAGGGGGTAGAAGTGCCCGGTAGGCAGGAAGGGGGTAGAAGTGCCCGGTAGGCAGGAAGGGGGTAGAAGTGCCCGGTAGGCAGGAAGGGGGTGTAAGTGCCCGGTAGGCAGGAAGGGGGTAGAAGTGCCCGGTAGGCAGGAAGGGGGTAGAAGAATGCCCGGTGCCCGGTAGGCAGGAAGGGGGTAGAAGTGCCCGGTAGGCAGGAAGGGGGTAGAAGTGCCCGGTAGGCAGGAAGGGGGTAGAAGTGCCCGGTAGGCAGGCAGGAAGGGGGTAGAAGTGCCCGGTAGGCAGGCAGGAAGGGGGTAGAAGTGCCCGGTAGGCAGGCAGGAAGGGGGTAGAAGTGCCCGGTAGGCAAGGGGTTAATCCAAGGAATGCATTAAGGCATAAAAACGTTTTGGCTTTAGAACCACTTGCTGAAGAGGTCAGACAAGACGAGAATTTAGTTTATCAGAAGCGGTCAGACTCAGGGTTGCCAACCACAAACTAATAAATGTAATATCTGCTGAAACTTTTATCTAAAAGGTGGTTTTGCAAAAGTGTTTGAGTTCCTTAAAATAGTTGACATTCTGCTGGTGATAAGATGTGCAGCTATGGTGAAATGACTTCACTTCTACTGTAGTGAGTTATCGAAACTTCTGCATTTTACTGGATAATCCAACACAGACATTCTTATTTAGGAGACTGCTGAATGGGTGGCTAGAAGTCTGACTCAGCCGGGGATATGTTGGACCTCTGCAGAGAGGCTGCTGCTTCCACAAAGAGAGCAATTGTCTTTATATATAAAAAAAATGAGTGCACTGTACATTAAATAATCATAAACACTAATCAATCAAATAATTACTGCTACATGAAAAAATGTGCACAAATTAATTGAAATGATAGAAGTCCACATTCCTATATTAAAAGTCCCAAAATCCAATACAACAGTGCTGTGTGCTAAAGAAATCCTCCAACGGAAAGTTCATAAGTGTCCACAAATGCTTGACACAAAAGTAAAAAATCAGCCTCTTACCAGACACTTTGATCTCCAATCAAGATCAAATGAGCAGATGGTGTTCAGATCCCACACTGACACCCTAGTTAGCCGTATCCAGGAGATGAATTATTATTATACAGTATTTATAAAGCGCCAATAGTTCGCTCAGCGCTGTACATTACAAAGGGGACAGAACATGTGACAGAACAATACCAATACAATGCAAAACATGAGGGGATCGAGGGCCCTGCTCCTTGGAGCTTACAATCTAGGAGGGAGGGGATGGTGGCACAGGAGGAGATGGCTGTGGGGGATGGAGTGGTAGGAAGAGTGGAGGAGATCGGCAGTTAGCAGGGGGTGGGGTAGGCTTCCCTGAAGAGATGGGTTTTCAGGGTGCGCCTAAAGGAGAGGAGAGTAGGTGATAATCTGATGGGTTGGGGCAGGGAGTTCCAGAGGATGGGTGACACCCTGGAGAAGTCCTGGAGGCGGGCATGGGAGGAGGAGACCAGGGAACTAGAGAGAAGGAGGTCTTGTGAGGAGCGGAGTGTGCGTGTTGGGTGGTACTTGGATATTAGGTCGGTGATGTAGTTCGGGGCAGTGTGGTGGACGGCTTTGTACATCAGTGTTAGGATTTTGAATTTGATCCGTTGCGCAATCGGAAGCCAGTGGAGGGATTGGCAGAGGGGGGTGGCAGAGATGGAGCTGTTGGAAAGGTGAAGGAGTCTGGCAGCCGTATTCAGGATGGACTGAAGCGGGGATAGCCTGTGGTGAGGCAGGCCAGTGAGGAGGGAGTTACAGTAATCGAGTCGTGATATGATGAGGGAGTGGATGAGCTGTTTAGTGGGTTCTGGGGTTAGGAACGTGCGGATTTTGGCGATGTTGCGGAGGTGGAGTCTGCATGAGTTTGTTAAAGATTGGACTTGGGGCTGGAAGGATAGGTTGGAGTCCAGAATGACACCAAGTACTCTGGCCTGCAGAGCGGGTTTGATGGTGGCGTTGTTGGATGTGATGGAGAAGTCAATGGGGGGTGGTGTCCGGGCTGGGGGGAAGACAAGAAACTCGGTTTTGGAGAGGTTCAGTTTAAGGAAGTGGAGCGACATCCAGTCTGATATGTCGCTCAGTAGGTGTGTGATTCGGGCGGAGACCGAGGGGGTGAGGTGGGGGGTTGAGAGATAGATTTGTGTGTCGTCCGCATAGAGGTGGTAGTTGAACCCGTGAGAGTGTATGAGTTGGCCAAGGGAGGAGGTGTAGATGGAGAAGAGAAGGGGCCCGAGGACAGAGCCTTGAGGGACCCCAACAGAGAGGGGGAGTGAGGGGGAGGAATGGACAACTGCAGATTCACTTGAAGGAATTTATCACATCAGACATCTCTCCACATCATGCAAGGAAGAAGACTTCATAGTGCGACCCGATAAACTAGCAAAGAGTTTATTAAAAGTATTGCACTTACATAGATAAGATGCATAAAAGCAGTGTAAACATTTAAAATTCCCGCAGTGTCAGACCACCGACTGGAACGAGGTGACGTCACAGAAATGTTTATGCACCTTATCTATGTTAGTGCAATACTGTAATAAATTCTTTGCTGGTTTTTCAGGTCGCACTATGACGTTTTCTTCTTCTGTTTTAAATCCTTCCTTGCATGATGTGGAGAGCTGTCTGATGTGATAGATTTGTTCAAGTGAACCTACAGTTGTCCATTCATCTCCTGGATACGGCTAACTAGGGTGTCAGTGTGGGATCTGAACACCATCTGCTTGTTTGATCGCTTGATTGGAGATCAAAGTGTCTGGTAAGAGGCTGATTTTTTTTCTTTGGTGTCAAGCATTTGTGGACACCTATGCACTTTCCATTGGAGGATTTCTTTAGCACACAGCACTGTTGTATTGGATTTTGGGACTTTTAATATATGAATGTGGACTTCTATCATTTCAATTCATTTATGCACATTTTTTCATGTAGCCGTATTTATTTGATTGATTAGTGTTTATGATTATTTAGTGTACAGCGCACTCATTTTTTATGTTTTGTATTTTCTGGTGCCCAGGGAAAGAGTAGCAGCAGTTGATTTATTTAAGGTACTTATATAGTGCTGTCAATTTTACGCAGTGCTTTACATATGTATTGTACATTCACATCAGTCCCTAACCCTCAAGGGGTGTACAATCTAAGGTCCCTAACTCCCATTCATATATACACATACTAGGGACAATTTAGACAGGAGCCAATTCACCTACCAGCATGTCTTTGGAGTGTGGGAAGAAACTGGAGTACCCGGAGGAAACCCACGCAGGCACAGGGAGAACATGCAAACTCCAGGCAGGTGGTGGTGGGGTTGGGATTCGAACCAGGGGCGGACTGACAACTCATGGGGCCCCTGGGCAATAGGGGATCATGGGACCCCTGAGCCCTCACCCACACTCAAACCACACCCAAAAAAGCATGGGGCCCCCTACTGACCCTGGGCCCTCGGGCAGTGCCCGAGTGCTCTAATGGTCAGTCCGCCCCAACGACCCTAGTACTGCCAGGCGGAAGTGCTAACCATTTAGCCACTGTGCAGTTCACTGATTGTTTCACTATTGTTTCTGAATATATACTTTTTTCACACATTCCTTTCACATATTGTATTGCCTGGGGTGTAGCGCAGGTTTTTTTCTCCTTTTTTAATTGTTTTTATTTGCAGCATGTTGGCAGCTGAAAGGCTTTTCTGGGCCAAGGCTGCTTCTAAAGAAAAGAACCAGTAACTCATACATCCACATATTTGTCGGCAAGGTGTGTTGGGGTGCCATTTAGAATGAATGACACCACATTACACCAGTGGATGTAATACGCATTTTTCTGCAATGTGATAATGTGGATGGGCCTGGAGACCTTTAACTCCTGGAATGTATTTAGAAAATTTAAACTTGAAAGTTCAGTTGGGATTTAAGTCCGTATGCAGCATATATTTGGTAGCCCAGCAATGGGCTTTATATGTGTGCTTCCACATATTTATTTATTTCAGGTACTTATATTGTGTTGTCAATTTTTGCAGCACTTTACATATATATTGTACATTCACATCAGTCCCTAACCCTCAAGGGGCGTACAATCGAAGGTCCCTAACTCACATTCATACATACACATACTAGGGACAATTTAGACAGGAGCCAATCAACCTACCAGCATGTCTTTGGAGTGTGGGAGGAAACCAGAGTACCTGGAGGAAACCCACACAGGCACAAAGAGAACATGCAAACTCCAGGTGCTGTGGTTGGGATTCGAATCAATGACCCTAGTACTGCCAGGTGGAAGTGCTAACCATTCAGCCACTGTGCTGCCTGGGGTTAGATAGAGCGGGGTCAATTCCTACATTTGTTTTTATGTTAGTCCCCTAAAGCCAATGGCACAGCTGCGTTTAGACTGGGTGAGAGGGGGACACAGAAGGAACATGCGCAGAGGATT